GTTCTCTGGCCTGCTCATGAAAGAGGTGCCACCCGAAGGCGATACCATTGACGGGATCTTCGTCCCCGGCGGAACGCGTATCGGACACAACACACAGGGTATCATGCGGCGGCGGGATATCTTTGGTGATGATGCCGACATCTTCCGGCCTGAGCGCTGGCTCAACATCATTACCGAGAAGAGACAAGAGATGGTCCAGACGACAGAGCTTGTGTTTGGATACGGCCGGTGGGGCTGCCTGGGCAAGCCGGTTGCATTTTTGGAGCTGAACAAGGTTTATGTTGAGGTATGTACCTATTGGCGTGGGCGTCCCGTGCGAAGTGACAATTTTGGGCTGACGACTGTCTGATTTAGTTGCTTCGGCGGTTTGACTTTGAGATTCTCTACCCTAAGCGACCCTGGCATGAGAAAAATTACAACAGTGTTCTTTCATTCGGAGCTGTGGATGCGGGTGACAGATCGGGCCGAGAAGACGCAGTGAACTTGGGGGCTGTTGTGATAGTGTTGAATAGAAGAGCTGCGCAATGCACTGTACGCTACCCTGTGTCAATGCTTTCAATAAACTAATCTACGCTGGGTTGAGAGACAGCACTGTAATGCCCCCTATCCCTTTCTGCCATAAAAGCATTTCGTAGGTATGTTGAAACCAACGCTCAGGCACGCCAATGCTGGCAACCAGTCATCCACAACGCACCATGAACTCTCCCTTCCATCCGTGATATCCATAATCAACTCCTCATAACCCAAATCAACAATACCACCTACCCCTCACGCCCCCGAATTCCCACTCGCCGGCAAATCACCAATCACCCCCAAATCCTCACCCATCTCCTTCCCGCCAACCACCAACCTCTTACAATCCTGCAACACAAACATCATGCGCGCCCACTCCGTCTTGCTCCGATTAACCCACTGATGCTGCGTCGCGCGCTGCACGGCCACATCCCCACGCTTTAACACATGGCTCTCCCCACTATCCAGCACCATGTCGACCTCCCCCTCCATCACAATCCCATAATCCAAGCTCTGCGTGCGGTGCATGGCGCACGCGTAGCCGGGGGCAAAGTCTACGCACCGCAGCACCGTGCCGCGCGGGTTGACCAGGCCGAGGGTGCCCGCGGCGACCGTCTGCTCGTGCGCCGCAATGTCGGCGTCGGCGTTGAGGTCGGGCGGGAAGGACGAGGTGGTGTAGGGGACGGCGAAGCCCAGGTTGCGGTCGTCGTAGGGGGTCCAGGTGAAGGGGCTGTGCGAGTGCACGATGGCTTTGCCCGGAGGCGTTGTGCGTGGTGATGAAAGCGCTGTCGGTTGGTGCAGGGTTGGAGATGGGCGCGGATTCGGTGGGTTTGGGCGCGGTGGATGAGCTGGTGGTCATGTTGAGGAGCTAGAAATTGATGGTCCTGTAATGAAGTATGGAAAATCAACACGTTAAAGCCGCAGTCTGCTTGAGGACTGCTGTTGTATTATTGCTCAACTGTGGGTATGGAGGCCTTGGTTGACATGAGGGGAACCAAAGGCAGCTGCAGGCGGCGGTTTCTTATACAGATCCGGAGTCTGCGGTTGCGGCGGCTGCAGCGGAACCCCACCGCCCTCCGTTTGATTTGGCCCTTACCTCCCTTCTTGCTTCCTCTTGAAAATGGGGAAGCATGCCAATAAGGGTTGCTGCTGGTTCGTGTTTAACGGCCGGCTGTCTCGGCAAGAAAACTCAGGAAAGAGGGGTGCACAAACTACCCCGTGATTTTTGCAGTTCTCAGTAATACCTACCAAAATCGGCATAGATCTCGGCCCTGTTGCAGAGGACATATTACTCTCTGCCCACACGGCTTGCCGGCTGACGAAGTTCGGATCGGCAACGGCCCCGGAGATCGGACTTTATCAGCGAGGGAGATTTAACACTGCGGCCGTAGCGAGGTCATTAACCGCAAGTGGCTGGCTGACCAACTATTCGACGTTCCGAGTTGTCTAGCGGTCTGGGTCGGAACTGGCCATCCGGGAATGTCCCGGTTGCTGATCAGTGATTAATGCGGGGAGAATCACCGGTTGTCTCACACGGCGTCGGCCCCCGGCATCTCTGGTTTTCAGTAAGGAAGGTAGTGTTGGGGTTGTAGTCGTTAAAGAACGTCGGGTAAGGGCCGTAAGTCGCATCCCATGACAAAGTGCCAAGAGGTGGGTGCTTTGTGTCCATGAGCTGCTCCGATTCCCCGATCTCTTCCCCCGCCGGTACCCCCTCACCGAGCAAGGGTCCCTGGCGCGGGTCCAGTTCTCATGGGAGCGAAAGCTTAATTTGACATCTTGTGTACGGGCACAGCCACGATGAAGATGAGGGACACGAAGAGGCCGACGAGAAAAGCCACGTCACTCAACCTGATGCACATTACGAATCAGGCGCATGTCCAATCGAGCCCAACACATGTGCTAAGATACTCTCCCAAACACCAACTGCAACCTCTCGTCACACGCTGACAACACGTCCTCCTTTGGGCAGGCCTTGGCGAACTTGCCCAACCAGACAGTCCGCCATCACCATGTTCGCCATCAGCAGTATCACGGCTTCTCGCTACACCACTATACCCCCTGAACATCACGTAATCCCAGCAAGCACCACTCAGGCAACCTCGGGCTGGGCCTCGTATCTCCCGTCATGGGGATCTTCTACCGGACGGACCCCTCCATCCGCGACCGAGGACAAAGTCACGGGTTTTCGAAACCCCTGGCCGTCATGGCACAAACCGACAGTTTCTGAAGTGTATGCCAGCTTTCAGTGGGGGGAGGATAACGATGGATGCGCCGAACTTGCCGCATCGCATCTCAGCGATAGCCCAGTGCTGGATAAGCCACCAAAAGCCAAGCTACCCACGTTCGACACCAAGGACTGGCCAAACTCCCTTGGTGCCAAAGCGGCCCGGTTGCTGCAAATAGAAGACCCCGATTTCTCCTTTCCCAAGGACAGCAAAGCCAAGGCAACATGGCTTGGCCACGCCGGTGTCCTGGTTCAGTTACCCCCCCTGAACCCCCAGAACGGTCGGCCGCTGCGATGTCTCTTCGACCCAATCTTCTCCGACCGTTGTTCGCCCATGGGCTCCTTTGCAGGTCCGATCCGCTCCTACCCACCACCATGCACGGCCGAAGACCTCCCGCCCATCGACGTCGTCTGCATCAGCCACAACCACTTTGACCACATGGACCAAACCTCCCTGATGTCCATCTGGCGCTACAGCCGAAACACGGTCCGCTTCTTCGCCCCCCTCGGCAACAAGCGCTTCCTCCTGGAATGGGGCATCCCCGACGACCGCATCATCGAGCTCGACTGGTGGGAGTCCGTCCAACTCACCCACCCGCGTGCATCCCACCACAACGCTCCCAGTCTCACCATCCACTGCACCCCCGCCCAGCACAACAGCTTTCGCGCAACAGGCGACACCAACACGGCCCTCTGGTCCAGCTGGCTCCTCGAATCCCCCACCCCCAAACACCCCCCCAACCCCCAAACCACCTACCACCACCACCACCACCACCAAACCCTACTCGCGTCTTCTTCGCCGGCGACACCGGCTACCAGTTCCACCCCTCCCCGACCTGGCAATGCTAGCCGATCAACAAGAGTCGGGATGGGTTCAAACGAGAAGTAGATCGCGTCCGAGGGCCGCCCTGCCTTTGGCCACATAAAACGACAGCAAGGGATGGCACGCCTGGAAAATTAAAGAAGGGATGCAAACCATTGGGCCTACTCTGATTGGGCAAAGGTATAGGATGGTGGTTAACGAACTTGAGCATGCTAGTCCCGAATAAGACTGCGGGAAGAGCAGCCATTCCATATCCTTTGTTGGGATCAACAGCAGGTGGGGGCAGTCGCTGGTCTCTTTACCGCATGCTTCTAGTAGAAGCCACACAGAGTGCGTCACGGACGGTTCGAACGTTCA